CCGGCAGAAGAATCATACCAAATTTTGTAGTGAAAGACTCTGTCAGGCTCTGATTAATATCTGAATATGCTGTAATCTATAGTACCTCTTCATTCTTCTTCTCTAGTTTTCTGAGATTCTGCAGTTGCAGTTTCTGAGCTTTCCCTGGATAAAGTCATGTGTTAAAAAAGAAAGGAAAAGTATTGAGTGTATCATGACTTATATCACAATTTTACCATATAAAACTTTATGAAGATGATTCATGCTCCCAGAAAGTAAGAGAATGTTGTTATAATTGTTTGTCTCAGCCCCAAGTTCACCAACTGTATATTTCTAAGTAGTTCTCACTGTTTCCGTTTGCAGATAAAAGATATGATCATCTGATCCTTTCAAGATAAGCTACCACTAATTTTAAACACTATGGTTAGTCTCTCTTTACTTACTGAAATAGGATCTCACAGGATTTCGCTCTATTGAATGCAGCTCCTTGAGTTGTGAAATACTTCCTGAGAACTTTTCAAATACCATAGATATTTTAGTCCTAACAACATGCATATGTGGTATGTTATGTCATGATAATACAACATTTTGCCTGTATGTTGTAAATGGACCCATTTAATCCATTTGTATTTTGTGTTCCCGCAGCTCTCTGAACTCTGAAGTTACTTCATCTGCCAATACAACCAAGTCTTTCTTTACTTTTTGACTCCTGACTGCATTTAAATCACATCCTTTAAGCTACAAATATGAGGGTTGTCTTGATCTCTTAAGATTGACTCTTCTCAGAAAGGTTTAGGGTATTTTTTTGATTATTTTAATGAAAATTTTGCGACTTAAAATGAACAAGACTGAAGTCATTGACATTCCTTACCCTACCTCCAAACATGTCCAGTAAGAAATTGAGGTCTTCCTATCACTTGAAGTTCCAGAGCAGATGGAACTTGGCTATTCTGAGTCAGGGTCACAAGGTTGCATATTTCCCTCCATACAAGCCTTGTAGCACTTGGTAAGCATTAGTCATATACCAGGCTTCCTCATGTTGCCCTTATCAGTGTGGCTGAAAGGAAAAGTAGCTTTTTTGGTAAACTGGGGAGGCTGAGCAGAGATTTGAAGTTGGCATAAAGTCAGCATCAGTCTCCTGAGGCCATTAGTGCAGCCTGGCTTCTGCCAACTAGTCTAGCAAATTGTTCATGAACTTTTTGTTCAGTGTTTACTCTTGAACTTTGTTCTGCATATGGCAGGGCAGACTATTAACAGCTGAAGAAATGGACCAACCAGTGAAAACTTTTTGTAATTAGCTGAGCGTGACTGTGCTGTTCAGTGTTGACTTTGCAACTTGGCAACGCTATCCATTGCTCACATTTGAGGAGGTGTTTTGGGCATCCATTTAACAGTATATTAGTTTATAAGATTACATGTGAATGCACGTTTGTAGCTGTCAGGAGCAGAAGCTAAAATATTTTCAGTGAACTCCATTGCCAAGTAAACAGAAACTGTAACTAAGCAACTCAGAAACACCATTTCAGTTATTCATGACTCGGAAATACGGTTTACTCAACATCTTCCTCCCCCTCAGCCCCCAACTAAAAGATCTGTATTTATTTGGAAGATGTATTTTACTAATCTGCAATGTGTTATATATCAAAATTTAAAAAGCCAATATGAAACTGAAACATCCTCACCAAAAGAATTAGTGGAACCTTTGATAAAGCTGAGTCCAGGCACAACATTTCCAAAAACTTCGAGTAGTTCCACATGATTATACAGAGCACAAGATATGGAATGAATTCAAGAAATGCTTTTCAATTACATTTTTTCTTTATAAAACTGAAAATGGCTTCTTACTTAGATATTTAGAAGTACGCCTTCACAGGCAATGGGAGTGATACTGTACCAGTAATACAGACATATCTGTGTTTAACACAGTAACCCATCACTTGAACCAGTCAAAAAAAACTTCTTCCCAATGATGTAGTAGCATTGGCAACATGAATTTCTGTGTACATCTACTGTGACTTTAAGGCAGCATGTTATGCAAAGTGTTTTTCCTGCTGTTCCTCCATCCCTGCTAATCCTATTCTCATCTTTCTCTGGGTCTCACTGGATGAAGGAAGGTAGCAGAGCAGTTCAACTCTGTCCTGAGCTAGGAATTCTTTTAGAGTTCAGTTTTATACAGGAAGCAACTTTTCTTAAAAGCGGGATGATATATGTCCTGGTTTATACCCTTGAGCTGTATAGGTATTTATTGAAAGTCAAAAAGTTTCTACACCTTTCGAGTATAAAGAGGTCCAAACAGCCAATAATGCACATTCATTGAGAATTCCATGCTAATTATCCCATGAGTAATTTCCCATGAAATGATACATTTCTACAATCTGAACCGGTATTTCGGCTTCTGTCTCTAGACAAGTATGCAAAAAAAGTGGTGAAAAATACTTTTCAAGCTACTAGTCACCAGTGGCGTTAAAGGAGTATCGTAAGATCACACTGGAAAAAAATGGGGGCTGCACCTGAAATTTACTTCTGAGTCCAGAATTTTAAGCAGAAATTAAGTTTCCAACTTTGTGACTAGCTGCCTTGTAAGATGTACAAAGTCCAAGTTAGAAAACTTCATAATGCCAATATTATGGGAGTTCTGCAGGGTTGTACCTGTTAGGTGTTTTTTGTAATAGCACTTTGAATCTAAAAGACCAAGAGGTCATTAAAACCACAAAAGAAGTCTGTTTTGCTTTTCACTGATGTCACATCAAATTAGCTCTAGTGTGGAAAAATTTAATATCCACATATGAAAATGTGCAATATGCAGTTATTACTTAATTGTTGAGGGGCTTTGGTAGACATCTTTCATCCTTTTAAAATAGAAACCAATGAGATTTTCAATTAAAAAATCAATATGCCTGCACACATGGCTATATTACACCATCTTATTAAAATATGCTGAGCACTTTGAAAGCAAAGACAATATTTTTGCCTTCATTTCCTTAATATGTATGATGAATACTGTATCTCTTTTCCCAAATTGTCAAGGTACAGAAGGAAAGCTACATTCAGAAAATGTTCAAGTAAATTCTTCATTTGCAGTTATAATTACTTCTTGGAAGAGTTAGGGAGTTTGAATTTTTATAACAATTTTTATCAGTTTCAGATTTAAAAAAAACCCAACTATTTTTTTAAAACATAAATTGAAAATATCTGTTTTGACCATCTAAAGAATTTGGTTTATGTTTTCATATTTTGACGCAGACATTAAAAAGGCACCATCTTGAGTTTCACTACAAAGGAATAAAATTTGATTTTTAAAAAAATCCCATTTGAACCAATGTTTTAAACTGTTCTTTAAGAGTCTGAACAACAGAATGAGACACCTGAGCTATCTAGGGTCCTGTGAGCAATCTCACAACATTAGTGCTGACCTACATGTATTTTGATTAGCTCACTGAGATCCCCAGTAGTATTTGGCTATTCTGTTCTCTTTTGGAGAATGCATGTTCCTCAGACATAGTAATTAATCTTACACAGGTCCTGCCCTTGTTAGGTACTAATCACATTTGTATGGGCTACACACATCACATCATTGTAAGATTTCCCACTTGCAGGGGTTTTTTTGTATTTGGGAGAGGACAGCTCCTATCTGTGCTCTTTTTATCCTTGTCATTGTACATCTGTAAGACAGATACCTAACATGATGGCTTCTGAAGAGTTAAGATCTACCTTTATGAGCTAACCTCCCCTAAACGTTATAGCTATAGGCAAAAGGAGCTTCAACAAAAGCAAACTAAATAGGCTGCTTCTTGGCTGAGCTTGGTAAGAGACTTGATGACAAGACAAGGAGCTCTCAGAATTGTAAACAGCACAAATGAGAAATAAAAGAATTATAAACCTAGTGTTCTCCTCAGGCTGTCATCCTCCTCCTTGGTTGCAGTCCAGCAGCTTTTTGGAGGCTGTTTTCAGGCCAATAAAAGCTCTCTTTCTCCTACCTCAACCCAGAGCAACATTTAGCTTAGATACAATCCCATGAGCCAAAATGTGCTTTGTGCCTGCAGCCTGTACCTGTCGTTCAACAGACTTGAGAACAGTAGCTATCACTTCTACTAGGCTTGAATGCAGAAGAAACATGTGAGATCTGTTAGATTTCCTGATAGAGCTCAGACCCCATTTTGAAAGAGAGCAAGGGAGATGTAGGAAAATACTTTTTCAGCTTTTGTTGTCTATCAGGCCAAACAATAATGAGTTTCAGGAGTTCCTGTTTCTTTTCAAAATCTAACTTTTAAAGCCAAATGCCTTCTAGGTGTTAAGCCCTGAGCAGATTTTTTTTTTTTTTCCCATTCTGGAGCTCTTACTATGTAGGATCTGGAAACATTTACAGCTTGTATATACCTGGCAAGTATAGACTGCAAAATTTCACATGATCTGAAATCCCTATCCTCCAGCTTTGAGATCTGTTTGGATGACCTAATGCTACTTTTTGACTCTGGTCTCTCACTGCTGAGTTGCATGAGGATGCAGTTACAGTGCACACTCAGATCACATCCAATACCCCAGTAATGACAGCTGGTTATTACCATACAAATCTGAAAGATTCCAAATCTGACTGGACAAAAGCGGCTCTTCATAGGACTTATGGGGTGTTCTTGAAGGATCCTTTAAAATAAACAGCCAATAGAGTACGATTTTTGTTCTCAGAGGAAATGACAAAATAAAAATGCCTTAGTGGACTGCTTGCATATTCGAGTGCCTTTATACTTCCTTGCAAGTACATGATGGGAGGCCTCCCTGAGTTACAGCACCAGAACAAAGCCCAGTACATTTATAACAGCCCCCCAAAAGCTGTTAAGAATGTATTTGACCCCAGTCTAGCCATAAAGAATATATTTCACAAAAGTGTTGTGAGTTTCCTTCATTCAGAGTATTTCCCATGTCCCTGGCCCTATAGCCTGGCCCCTTGTTATCCTAGATTTCAAATACTTTTGTTATGGTCTTCCAGTTCGAACTTGTCACTTTGCCCGTTTTCTCTCTTTCAGGCTGTTGTGGCACCTGTGTTCCTGTGAGCATGGATGAACTCTTGTATCGTCTAGGACTTTGTGACCTTGCAACAATGGGTGAGTGTCTGAAACTGCCCCTGCCCATCCATTTATCTTCTGACACAACTCTAAAATTCTGTACATTCGAATATTTTGCTTATCAGAACAATATTCAGCTCTCTGTGCGCTTATATTTTTGAAAGATGCTGTTGAACAGTTTTAGGGATTTTCTCATGCATTAGTGTTCTTTGAAATACCGTTAGAGAAGGAGGATATTGGTTGTGTGTGTCATACAGCTTCGGAAATCTTTTGTTTTTCATCTCAATCCACTGGCCAAAAAGAAATGAGTCACTTTGTTATAAGTATCCTGTCTCCTATTGCTTTGTTTAGGTTTGCACCTACTTCTTCCTGAACAGAAATAAAAAGATTACTCACAGAAACACGCCGGTACAGAGATGATACAATGAGAAATTAAAACACTGTTCTCAGCTTGCTCTGTTTTACTATCTAAAGAGCTGTGTGCTAGGACTGGTTCTTGTAAAGGCTCTTCCCTTGCTCAGAAAGTGGTCAGCCCTGGGAAGGGAGAAGAGGGTTCTGAGCAGCGCAGGTCTTCCTAAATAGAGCTGTGAGGATTTAAAATGCTAGTTTGAACTTTCTAAAGAGTGAGTTCAGTTTGGGAACACAAAGTTTAGTAATTGATATCAGACAAAAAGCTGATAAGAGACAGTATCTGTAGAAGGGCTCTTTAAGTCTTGTGTCCTTTCCTTATGTACTCAGCTGTTTAGGGTAAGAGAATAATATTATTTGAAGTGTGTTTCTGTATTGTTTTCCAGAAGAAAATTAGAACTGCGACAGAGCCTCTTAATTTCTTTTGGGCAGGGCATCAAGATGAAAAGGAAAAGGTTCCAGGAGCTTAGTGCCAACACCATGCTTTCATAAGTATAAATCAAAATTATGACAGCTACTCCATAATAAGCACCTTTTTGTGCTTATGTTCATTAAATAAATATATGAACCAGACACTGTTGAGAAAGGGCAATCCTTGATACACAGTTGATCATTGCTATAAGTAGTATAGTACAGGACAGAATTTAATTGATTTGGGGTTTGAAAGTAATCTAAAAAATTAGAAAGTGCTTCCTTTTTTATTACATTTCTCAGATAGCCAAACAGTGAAGCACTTAGAAGGCTGTGGTCAGCAGAATGACAGTCAGTGACTCATTATAGAGATGGGTTATATAGATGAAATTGCTACTTCTTAAAACACTTCTAAAATCTGTGCTGAAGCTTTTAGTCAATGCTATTCATGCTCTGAAGCAGCACTATTCTCTCCCACACTCTCTCAGGATTGCCTTGCCACCACTGTCTTGAAGTGCTCTCCTCCTACAGAGTATCTGGTCAGTGATAGCAGCAGCTGCAGGAACAGTGTGTTCAGCATGCCAGACTGAAATTCATGTTCCAGGAATGTCTCCTGGGGGGTTTGAGCAATTCAGTCAGATTCGTAGTTAAAAGCCTTTCACTGTAACACAATTACCCTGCAGTAGAGAAGAGGAATGGTTGGCATTTGTTTGCTACAAATGTGCCTTGCAAAACCCACTGTTACGAAATCCTTCCTCGTGTGAAATTTCCACTGGCAATGGAATTTACCTATTCTAGAATGATAGGCTACTGTGCTAGGAATGCAAGGAAAAAAAATAGAGTGATCAACAACATTTTATGTGGGTTTTAACGTCCACTTTCTTAAATATATTAGGGGTTTTTTTCTGTCTGAAAAGCAGTACCTACAGCTGTACAGCAGGACGCCAACAGTTCCAGAAAGCTGTGGTTTAGTGGCTGTTTAAAAAAGCATAAATTTCATTTTTTTTTTTTATTCTGGCTGATTCTCACCATCATACAAAACACAGAAGATCCTTACAAAGAATATATCATCTCCTTAGACAGGTGGGGCACTCTTACTGGCCGATTTACAGATTTAACTGGCATGTAGCCATCCAGTTTGCAATTTCCATCACATATTCTGCAATTCTGGCTTAGCCTGAGTCATGGCCTGAAACACGAGAGGAAACCACCACTGTCTGGCCAAACAGTTTCATCTTGCAATAGGAATACTGTGTATTCCTCTGCCTTGTGATTCTCACAATTGAGTCCTAGTCTTCCAGCCCACTGGGGAATAAAAGCAGGGGTGTCCAAACTTAGCCCTCTTTAGACCACCTTCCTGTCTCCTGGTAAGTCAAATTGAAGGCAAGTGGGGCAGAGAACTGAAGTACACATATACTGGTGAGAGTTGTGTGATACAGGATAATAAGGAAAGAGTGAGAGATGAATGGGATGCTTTACAGATTATTTATGATAGAGACAAAGATTGTGATAGTAATTGAAGCTTAAGAGGGGGCTTAGGGAGGAGATAGGGCCAGACCATAGGTGGAGGTGGTTTAGCCACTTGTTTACTACTCTGCTGAGATCTAAGCAGGGGGAGGAGAGAGGAGAAAGAAAATAAAAGAGGTGAGTCACGGTACAAGTGAAAAACTGGAGGGAAGAAACTGTGACACATAATACAGGGAATAGGAGAAAGCTGTCTGGGGATTGGTTCTCAAGGGGCCCAGGGTACAGAAGGCAGATTCTCATCTCAGGATACCACAGAAAACTAATATTTAACACTTAGTGCATGTATTCATCAGCCAGCCATATGACAGTGAAAGTAGGGTTATGCACAGGTCATCTGGTTGATTCTACCAGAATAGACTTGGAGGAGAGAGCTTGACCAGTCAAATCTGCACAACCTCCTTTGCGTTTGCAGGTATTTGGTTCTCGCCTTTGGCCTGACGTGACTTCCCCCATCTTGTAATTTGAGCAGTGTAAAGTACAGAACTCATTAACTCAGGTGAAGCATTGTATACTCCATATTACTTGAAGAAGCAGCATTATGGGAGCATTATTTTCCTCCTTTCCACACTTACTTTTTTTGGAGTCCAGAACTGATATGCTTTCAAAAGTACATTTTGTAAGGATTATACAAACAAGGTGATCAGTGCACAGAAAAGAGGCAATTCATAGACTTGTCAGACAAATCTGTAACCTGGGCATAGGACAAAAAAGGTATGCTAGCAAGGTTGCTGGTCTGGACGAGGGGAGAAGACAGACCATCTAAAATAAAAGGAAAAGAGACTCAATTTTCGTAATATTAAATCTAAGCGGGTGGTCCAAGTGAAAGTCACAGACACCATGCTCTTATCTTCCAAGGTGATACAGAATAGTATTTGCATGGGTTAAGTTCAAATAGGCTATTGAAACAAATGTCTTGTAGATAAATTAAATAAGAGAGGCTTCAATCAACTGTGCAAATGCGTGTCATCACTCTAAAGGTATGTGTGAGACTGCAATGATTTGAAATGAACTGGGAAGGGGTGATTTTGAGAAATATCCATCTACTTTTATATAAAGTAGAAAGAAGAGAAACACGAGAAATAGCAAAAAATAATAAGAAAACATGAAATGTAACCCAAAATAGCTCTAGGAAAATGGTTATTAGAAAAACTTCCAAATATTTTGTGCTGAAACCTGGTGATGGTACAGGAAAAGAATTTGTTGTTATTTAGATCCTCCTATAAGCACAAAATATGATCTTCAAACATTCTTCAATGCAGCTCTGTACAGGGAGCTCTTATCATGAGCTTCTTTTCCAACAGAAACAGTTTGTGTGATCTCAAAATGTGGGCAGCTACTTGGGCCAAGAAGAGATAACAATAATGAATACCTTTTGTATCCTTCAAAATGAGTCATGTTGTTCAAAAGGTAAGAGGGATTTACTCACAATGGACAGGCAGTGATGATTCAGCAATTACAATTTTAACAGACTGTCAAACAAACTTCACTGAACTATAAGAATGCATCTGTACTGATCTCATGGAAATGTACAAAGGGAGTTGTTTTTACATGGCTAGAAGTGAACACATTACTCAGAACCAAAAGTATAAAAGAGAGACTGATGGGCAGCCAAGTCTCCCAGCAGAAAAGCCAAATATATTTCTAAGCCCTCTTGAAGCTGTCTTTGCGTTCCTTCCTCGAAGAACATTTTTATAAGCAGTTATCCAGATTTCTTTTAAAGTAATGCACTCCCATCATATAGATCCAGATCACTACTACTAAGTGCCAAAACCACGGATACTCCATTCTGTGCTTGCAGAAATACTTGAAAATGCATCAAATGTTAAAAGTGTTTGACATTGCAAAGTACCATATGATTAGTTTATCACAAGTGAGTTTTGATCTATCAGAAAGTTTGCACATAAAGATTATTAGGAAATTCTTGAAGAGAAATAACATCTTCCTTTGTAACACCTAGTGAAGGCTAGTCTTTATACATATATATATGTAAACACATAAATACACACACACACACATATATACACACATACATACATAAATATGTATAGATAATATAGGTAATCCCTGCTACAACAATCTTCTCCAAACAAGTCTCTTTCTGGAGTCCAGTTGATTTCAAAAGGCCCACATAGATACTAAAGTCTATGTATACAGGACAGAAATTTAGCAGTCTCTATGTGGATACACAGAATTTTTTCCATCAACTTGAGGAAGAGCTGTGTAAGACTCAACTGCCTGTGGGGCAGTTCTCTTTGAGTCTGAATCAACTTTTGAGCCACATCCATCACATTTTATTCATATGAAAATAATAAAATTGAATCTATTGACAAGGCTTACAGTACTTAAATTTTATATAACCATCACTTTATAATTTGAAAAACAGTAACAGTTTGATTTTTTTTTAGACAAAGAAATACTTTTTCTTCTGAAATACAGGCCAAGGAAAACTTTATGGGGCATATGATATAAAAACATTCTGAAAGACAGTTCTAACATGGGTTACACCATATACTAATGACACTTTGTCAAAATTTCTTAGAGCTATCCAACTGAGGGGTTACAGTTCAAAGACTTTAAAATTCAGATTTATTTCTGACTCAACAAAATATGCAGTGTTGAATTCCTGCTTAAAGTAAAAGGCACTGAGCCGATTCCACCAAAACAAATGGAAAATGAAGACCAGGCAGGGTAGC